AAAATCTATGTTTCAGCTTTTCCTTCCAAGTAGGTAGCAATATAATAAAAATGTTAACAACTAATAGTCTCAAGACCCTCACTGGAGTGTGACTTATGAAGCAGAGTCAGAAACAGTCAAGACAAAACCTTGTAAATTGTCAGGTATGAGAAAAAATGTGAGCCTCAAGAGCTCTTTTAAATAGTATTTCACTATAAACTTTTAAATATTTAAATGTTCAACAAGGTACATCAGTGAAAAAGAAACTGGCATAGACAGACAAAATCTGCAGAAGCCAAGCAAATGTTTCCAGGCCATGGCCCCAATTTTACTGAAGTTTTGTATATAAATTATAAGCCAGATTCCCTAAGACCTGTATCAGGCTGAGAGGAAGCCACCCAGGGAGTATTTTTGCGTCTTGATGCAGTACTCTACTCAGTTGTGATGACTATACTCAAGTGAGTTGTAATTCTAGTCCCAAACAAATCACAGTAGCGAGGATGAAAAAAACCTCATATGTATTGCATATGATAAAATAATAGAGCTAGAAGGGATATCTTACCCAATCCTCTGACTGTATAAAAAAGAAAATTAAGACCCTTAGAGTTTAAGTTCACATGACTAGTTAATCACGATGTCTGGAATTCTTGGTAGCTTTCCATTATACCATATTAATTTTGGTCTGGATGGCAAGAATTTTCTCAATCAATTCACCTTCAATTAATTGATTAATCAATGGTGACTCTGGCCAAAGTGGACAAGAATACAGTCCCAAATAAGGTAGGCTTCATGGTGGCTAAAATAATGTCCATGCCACACAAGTAGTCAGACATACACTCTCAAGAGAGGGTATCTAGGCAGAGGAATTTTAGTTTTAGGTATTAGGAAGCACTACTAAAATGAATCAAAAAGAAAGAATAATCAGCTCTGAAAGTATGTCAGTGGATGTTTCTTATACATCAAAATAGTATTTCAACAGATCCTTTTAAATAGTCATGTTTTTAAATATAAAAATTAAATTAAATTAAAATAAATAAATCTTCCATGAGAATGAATTTAATGAATTTTCCCATTTGAAAGGGGCCTTTTTTAAAAAGTCGAGAATCTTTTTAAATGTAAATATTAATATATATGCTTTGTAGTTGATATTTGGGGATTATATTAAAGTATGGTTTATCTGTACATACCTTTGTAATATATGTATACCAAAAGCAACAAAAGATTGTATACTCTCCTTAATATTATAGTTTATGTTTAACTGAGTTTTCACCACACATTATGAATGTATTATTGGTTTCCAAAGCACAGAATATAACAAAAACATACTTTTTGGAAGTTTTCTACAGTGGAAAGAATACTAGAGGAAGAATAAATAGAATCTTCAAGTCAATAGACTTTAAGTTTTGTTCCTAGCTCTGCCATGCATAAGCTAAGCAGTCTTGGCCAAATCACAAACTACTCTCTACTTCCGTTTTCTCACATGACAAAAGGATTGTTACATGGGTTTCTAAGGTCCCCTCAAGGTCTGTGATTCTATATTTAACACAATACACTATTTTTATGGTTAAGAAAGCACTTCAGGTCCCTGACATGTTTAAGATCATCATGATAAGCATGGATCATAATGACATCAGTTTTTTAAAAAGTGTTCTGAGCTAGGAAACAACTGTACTCTAGTTTCACTAAACCTAAGCAAGTCTTCCAAATAAAAATCTTTGCCCAATGCCTATTTTTCCCTTTATTAAAATCCATATATGGCCATTCTTTTAAAATGCAGTATGTCTTTCAATTTCTAGCAGCAGAACCCTAAAAAGCTCCCAACATGAAAATGCTACTAGATGAGAAAGACCACTTTTCCCAGTAGACAGCCACCATATAATATTGTTACATTGTATCCTAAAAACTCTTTCCCAATAGACTGTGAGTTTCTTGAATGCAGGTATTACCACATTCATCTCTGTATTACTAGTGCTTAGCAAAATACTTGTTTGATCTTATAGGAGCAGAAAGCCAAAGAAATGCTCTCGATTTTATAAAAACAGAAAAAAAAAAAAAACATTTTGAAAAAGAAAGAAAGTTCTTATCACAGAAAAAGGGTAATTTTGTGAGATGATGGATATGCTAATTTTCTTGACTATAGTAATCATTTCACTATATATAATCAAAATATCATGCTGTACACCTTAAATATATACAATAAAAAGATTTTAAAAAGTAAAATTAACTCAAGAAATCTCAAAATTATTTTTAAATATCTTTTAATAAAACAAAAAAAATGCCCATATTTTTTACTATATAAAGTTGAAATAAGAAAATAAAAGATTCATTCAGACTAATGCAATTGTGTCAATTTTAAATATAACTTTGTGATATTATTTCTAAATTTTTTAAATAACATTTTTCCCTTAGAATGTGAGGAATACAAATAAACATTTTTCCAGATTATTCATGGTTAGTATTTTTATTATGCTGTGTTGTAATCAACAAAAATAAAAGACAAAATGACCCCAAAATGTGTATTTTTTAAATGCTGATATTAATGCTTAGCCATTTGTCATTTTTAATAAAGACCTATGTTTCTAGGCAGACAACTACTCTATATTATACCACTAAATTATGGCTAGTTTGCCTTTAGGTAGACAACAGTTTATAATGCCCTGGCTACACATAAGAATCACCTGTAGAAGAAATATTTATTTAATATACTTGTTTGGGTTATACCTTCAGAGACTGTGGTTCAGTAAGTAGAATACACTGTGGCTCAGGCACGTGTATTTTTTAAACATTACCAGATGATTCTGATACATGGCCAGGAATAAAAAAATACTATTTTGTTGCTCCTAAAATTTATAGCTATAGTATATAGATATATAGAGATATACATGCAAATGCACACATACACACTGAGGAGGTATTTTGTCATTTGCATGCCGCTAGCTCCTTTTTACTGCCAAAGAATCTGATATCCTCCTGTGTCACCATTTTCAATATTGGTCATTCTTATTTCATCTGCTTCCTGCCCCGTTCTTGTCTATTGCCTAACATTTCTCAGCCTTTCCAAGGCTATGTTTATTGATGTTTAATATTACAATGTTCTTTTTTTGCCACCTGCAACCCTCCCTCCACCTCACTTGCTTTTTATGTACATGTATTTTTTTTTAATTTTTTTATTTCAGAGTATTATGGGGGTACAAAAGCTTTGGTTACATAAATTGCCTTTGCACCACCTGACAAGCATGCCTATCCCCCAGACAGTGAGCTCCGCATCTGTTAGGTGTGGTTTACCCATTCCCTCCTCCCCCTCCCACCTGCCCAACACCCTATGAATGTTACTTCCCATATGTGCACATTAGTGTTGATCAATCAGTACCAATTTAATGGTGAGTACATTTGGTATTTGTTTTTCCATTCTTGTGATAGATCACTTAGAAGAATGGACTCCAGTTCCATCCAGGATAATACAACAGATAGTTCATCATTTTTTAAGGCTGAGTAGTACTCCATTGTATGTATGTATATACTTGCGGCATTTTATTCATCCACTCATGTGTCGATGGGCACTTGGGTTGTTTCCACATCTTTGCAAGTGTGAATTGTGCTGCTATAAGCATTCAAGTACAGGTAAATGTCTTTTTATAAAAAGACATTTTATAAAATGTCTTTTTTTTTTCCTTTGGGTAGATACCCAGTAGTGGGACTGCTGGATCAAATGGTATTTTTACTTTTAGCTCTTCAAGGTATCTCCATATTACTTTCCATAGTGATTGTACTAGTTTGCAGTCCCACCACCAGTGTATGAGTGTTCGTAACTCTCCGCATCCACACCAACATTTGTTGTTTGGGAACTTTTTGATAAAAGGCATTCTCACTGGAGTTAAGTGATATCTCATTGTGGTTTTGCTTGGCATTTCCCTGATGATTAGAGATGTTGAATATTATCCACCTCACTTTCTTCAGGTTCTGCACCATTCTATTAATAAAAGCTTAAGAGTAGCAGTAATCTAGCTTGAAATAAGGTGATAATGTACTTATCAGCAATCCATTTGTTTTTTTCTGAGGAGTTAATCATCTTTGAAAAAATTTCCCTATCCTATCTAATAAAATTGTGCTATATCACCTTATTTTACCATATATACATTATTTTTAATTATTTACTCACTCAACAAATCAACAACATTCATTAAGTGTTCTGCATGAGGCACTCAGCTATACACTGGGGATACAGAAATAAAATGTGAACTTGAGGATAGAGAATTTGTCAGAAATATCATAGCCTTTAAAGAAACAAAAAGATACAAGTATGCTATGGGCTAAATTGTGTCCCCCCCAAAATTAATATGTTAAAGTCTTAACACCCAGTACCTCAGAATAACACCATATTTGGGGATAGAGCCTTTAAAGAATTAAGGTAATAAAGGTGGGCCCTAATCCAATATGACTGGCATCCTCAAAATAAGAGGAAATTAGA